ATTTATGGTTGTCATTCTTGTGTTCCTCTTTTCTGCTAAACCTTAGTTATTCATCTGATTATTTCCTCTTGTTATAGGTCCGTCTTGAGCTCGAGGAATTGAACCTCTATCCTGTATTGGAACCAGTGCCGCACTCTCATAGCAACGACAATGCTCTATTTTTAGCTCAGGCTCAGCGAGCTGAGGAGCGCATCAAGATGCTCAACATTATTCCAGCTCTTCGGCGAGCTCAATCCACCCTTTCCTCGTCTTCTCTTCATTCGGAATCTTATCGGTTTTCGTCATCTGAGCGTGATCTCTCCGATCATAAAATGGAAGATGGTGCGGAATACCTTAGCCTGAAAAAGCCCTCATCGCGATTTGCTTTTCCGGAAGCCTCTCGCCAATCTCAGTTGACCCCGCTTACATGGGCTAATCACACTCTACACAATGTCTGTCCATATCCAATTCCCCCCGTATACCGACTAAGTATGAGGATACACTGGGTAAGGATGACTGAGGAAGATTATCGCAAGGATTTATTAAAATGTGTCTCAATCCCTTAGCTGTCCAACCTTCAATTTGTCCATTATGAGCTAAACAAACTGTCTGGCCCCTGCATCTCCATAGAAGTCTTAGCTGTTACCCTCCTTTGTTGATACTAAAAAAATTCTTAAAAAATTGTCAAGATGGGCAAGAATAATATTTGCAGCAAGACATACCAATAGTCAGCTTGGGAGAGGCCCTGGAGGATAAAGCTATTGGTGCTCTTTTTTGTTTCCTATTAGAGCATTTATAATATATTTGTTGAGTTATCCGTTCTTATTTATTTATTTTAGAATGTCCTTCGGTCTTATATTGATCATTCTTGTTGGGTCCTTTCTTAGTACTCTCAGTATAATTTTTATTTTATCTGTTTATTGTTTTAGTCCATTACAATCACTTTCCTTCCCTTTTTTCCGTGGACTATTCGATGAACCCTCTGTGATGTTTTGTGTATCCTTGTAAATCTGCCCCATTTTTGTAAGCTCTTTACTTTTAAATGTTGTCGGGGTCATTTTTATCTCTACTTTCTGTCTCTTCTAATCTAGGAACTTCCCAGGGGGAAATTTTAATCCTTCGGGATTACCGTAGTTTTTGAACGAAAAACATCGAGGATAACTTTCCTACTTTGTCACCATCGTCATTTAGGTTCGATTTTATGCGGTAGTTTAGCAGCATATCTATGAAATTTCTTATCCTTTCTCATTTATCAAAC